ATATGTAAATGGAGGCATCGTCTTTTTTTCAAAGGCTTCGGTGCCAATTAAAAAAAAAGTGTGTTTTACTCTTTGATGATCTTTTTTTTTAATGTAGTCCTTGGGATAAGTTTTCTGTCAACCGTTCGTTCCTTCTTTTCCTTTGACGATTTGGGAGTTTGACAGAATTTTTAAAAAATAACACATTAACTAAACCATTGAATACTACGCCAACCGCGGTCTGAACCTTATCACGCGAAAGACCACCGTGCCCTGCCCAAGAGACGGAGGAGAAGGAACCTCAACGAATAGCGGGCGGCTTTAATCTTCGGCGTACCTGTGGGGGATGTCCGTCGACTCGTCTGGCGTTTGCTCGTCCTCCGTATCCGGGGAGAGCGCGGAGGAGTCGGTGTCGAGGATCGTCGGGCCGGTCCAACGAATGCTGCTGGTGGATCGCGGCGACGCCACGGTGAGCCCCCCGTGTTGGGAGCCCTTGCCGGCGCGATTTCTCTACGACGCCGAGGGCTTACCGCGCCCTGAGGTCATGAAGGAGCACTTCCGGCGGGAGGGTCTCCTGCACGAGGCGGACGCCCTGCGCATCGTGACCTGCTGCGCGATGATCCTGAAGGATGAGCCGAATGTCGTGAATATGGAGGACCCCGTCGTGATTGTGGGGGACCTCCACGGACAATTTTATGATCTTCTTTCCCTTTTTGAGCTCGGTGGGGACCCTGCTCTTCAGAAGTACATCTTTTTAGGGGATTACGTCGACCGGGGCTACTTTGGGGTCGAGATTATTTTGTTGTTAATGTGTTATAAAATACGCTACCCCCGTACGATGGTGATTCTCCGTGGTAATCATGAGAGCCGGCACCTCACTGCGTACTTTAACTTCAAGCGCGAGGTCGAGTACAAGTACTCGCGGACGCTCTACAACGAGATCGTATCGACTTTTGATTGCTTGCCCTTGGCGTGTTCCCTGAATAATCGTTTTTTCTGTGTCCATGCGGGTATATCCCCGGAGCTCACGAGCATCGCGGACATCAACGCGATCAATCGTTTTCGTGAGACTCCCATCTCCGGCCCCATGTGCGACCTCCTCTGGGCGGATCCCATGGATGAGGGACGAAACAATTCGAGGCACACGCAGACTTTTGTTCCCAACACCACACGAGGCTGCTCTTATGAGTACAGCCAATCCGCCGTGTGTAAGTTTCTCAAGTCGAACAATTTGGTTTCCATTATTCGTGGCCACGAGGCACAAAGCGAGGGGTTCCACCTGTACAAAAAAGGCTCCCATGGCTTTCCCTGTGTGATTTGCGTCTTTTCGGCACCCAATTACTGCCATGCGTACAACAATCGAGCCGCAATTATTCTGTTAGACAAGAATATCATGAAAATACGTCAGTTTAACAGCAGCCCTCACCCCTATTATTTGCCGAACTTCATGAACGCTTTCGTGTGGTCGCTGCCCTTTTTGGAGGAGAAGTTGCTTGAGGTCGGGCTTCGCGTCCTGGAAACGTCGAACAGCGAGGCGGAGGCTGGCTCTGAGGTGGAGGACCAGCCCACGGCTCCGCCTACTTCGGACGCCTTCTCAGCGGACTACGGGGAGCGTGTGAAGGAGCGGATCTCCGACATGGAGAGGGTCTCTCGTCTATTCCACACGCTCCACGAGGCGGAGGCGGGGCCCGAAAAAAGCGCCCCATCGGGGCGGACCTCGCGTCTGGGAGTCGACTCTCCGCAACTCGAAAAGTCACCACCCTGCGGTGCCATATCCCCAGAAGTTACGAAGGAGGTGTGGGATCAGGCCGAATTCTAGTTTTGGACACCCCGTAGAGTTTTTTTTGATGGAATTCAGGTCGCACACAGGAGGAAGGGAAAGGGAAAGACAAGAGGGGGGGGAGGAAATGTGCATAAACGCTGATATGCATGGTGAAAAATGGAAATCAGATTGTTCATTTTACTAGGGAATTCTTCGGCTATTATTGTAATGGTCAAATGTATGACCAAGTGTGATAATAGTCGTGACAATAAAAATATTAGTTTTCACTAATCTAAGGGATTCATTGCAGCATTCGTGTTAGTTTTTCCAACGAATTTGGGATGTACTCTAGAGTAGTTTGCGGTGAAATCTCGAAAAGTATTATTTAACTTTTTTTTCTTAGATTATTATTTTCATCGTTGATTTTTACTAAGTCTTGGCATTCATCTACCCTATCTATTCCAAAACAGAGTTGCCTTTCTCTATTGCTAGGCGCATACCAAGTGCAGATGCACATGTGGTACTGTGGAATTGCTAATGTGTATTTTAAAATTCTGTACTATTACAACTCTTGCTTTAGTTATACGCTTTCTTGTTAATCAATATTTTGATCACATTTTAAATAAAAAATAACACACGACCTCTTGTTCCCCTTTGTCGTTCGGTGAGGGGTTTATTGTGCCCATGATTCCATCGTTCTGCTATATTCACCCTCTCGTTCTCTCCCTGACGCCGATGACAGGACCGAAGACGGCGGTTTTCCCTCTCTTCACAGGGTCTTTTGCAGTATTGTAGTCCGCGCGAATGTTCACGGGCACCCCGCTCGTGCGGCTCATCGGGCGCGTGAGGGCGCCCGTGAAGAAGGCGCTTCGCCGGCAGCAGCAGCTCCAGCGCCTTCATGAGTCGGCGGCGACGCCAACAGGCGGGGGGGGGGCCCCC